TATTTGCCTATTTATTTATTTATTTATTGACTGTTTTATTGGCTTTTGTTTGCTCTGAGACATCATTTGTGTCACTTGTCAGAGGCACAACCTTAGGCTTGTGAGTACTCTTGGATGACAGTGGTTTTATTGAGGCTAGTTTCTGCTGTATCCTCCCCTGAACATTTTATTGGGTGTACCTCTGTAGGTTTCCTAGCTAGCAGGAAAGCTCCATTAATTCTCCTTTTGTTCTATTGTTTTGACAGCATTGTGGGGCAGATATTTCTCTACTGTCCGATCCATTGTTTTTGTCACCTCTGCAAGGATAGCCTTTAAGTCCAGTCTTTGAGGTTTGCCCCCATCCTATGAGGAGGGCCTTCTTCACTGTCTCCTTCCCTGGTTTTCTCTGGTAAACTTCTACTTGGTCTGCATGTAGCTTTTTGTTCTCATGGAGCTACCAGCTTATCACCAAATGTGTATAATGTTTGAGAGTCACTTATGCCTATGCTTGAATTTTCCCACTTTTTTTCCAAATAAATTCAGTTCACTTGAGGAGAGCTTTGGGGCCCTCTGTTATGGACTGCCTTTCTTTCTAGGTAAAACCTGTGTTCACCTGTTCTGGAACTGGGACAGGAGCAGTGGCCCAGCTCTCTCAGAGTGACACCCTGGATTTAGAACAGGTTTCTGGGTGAGTTCAGTAGCCCATAGTTTTCCAAGCTTGTTTTTCTTGACATAGAACCTCTATCCTTTGAACTGAGGCAACTAAAATTGGGGAACCCATTATTCTTGCTCTATCATGCATGGGGTAGATCTCCTACCCTATGAATGGGCTTTAGATAGAGGAAGACATCTCCAGACATTGTAGCCACTCTTCCCTTGAATAGAGCTTCTGCAGCATGGAGCTGGAGGGAAAAAGGATTGTTTTCAGCGTGCCACTTTCGAGGTGATATGGTAGCTCTTGCCTGGGATGTAAGGGAAGAGTCTCTAAGTTCTTTTCTGCACTTGCCTGTGTGCTTCCTATCATGCTGGGCTGGGAGAGAAGAGGGAGGGAGTAGGTCCTGATTCAAATAATACAAGCAAATGTTCCTATTGGCTTTACTCATAGTATCTAAAAGGTGAAAAGCCCTCAATTGCCCATGAATTTAAGAGCGCATAAGGAAAATTTGGCCATCTGTGTACAATGAAAAGCGGAATATGACTGAGCAATAAAAAAATGAATTACTTAAACAGATGATAAAATAATTAAATTTCAAATTCATTTTACTCAGTTAAAGAAGCCTACCAGAAACGAGTGCATACTGTATGCAGACTATATATATAGATATGCCACACAAAAAAAACAAACAAACAAAAACCAAAAACAGATCACTGGTGATGTGGAAATGGAGTTGGACAGAGGCATGGACTAATAGGGAGTATGATAATCTCTTAGAGGTAATGGAAATTTTCTGTATCTTATCGTGGTGATGGTTTTGTTGATGTATAAAACTGTTAAAATTCACAGAATTGTACATTCTGAACAAACATAGTTCATTTCACACAGTTATTCTTCAGTAAAATATTTGAGAAAAAAGATCAGCAGAGCTTTTTTTTTTTTTTTTTAGATCCACAGACTTCATTTTAGAACAATGACTCAGATCTTTTTTTTGCACTGCAAAACAGGCATCTACTCAAGGCAATAGAAGATATTTATTGTAATAAAAAAATCAATGCAGAAAGTAGGATAAAACCTATTAAAAATATAATTATTATTAGTGTAGCAGCAGTGGAGGGAGGATTCACCACCATTAACACTATCATTTAAATTAAGAAAACTTTACCAGTTATTGATGCTACAGTCAGCTATAATTATATATTTAATGGGAAGTCAGTAGATGTGTTTGAAGAAATTTCTTATGTGCATTATATTTTAGGTAAGGGTATTATTTAGGTACCAACAATGATGTTTTTTAAAAACCCAGTAATTCCTAAATCAAAATATTAGCTATATAGTATTAAAATGGTTTTTTACATGACTCGCACTACAACTTTGATTATTTGATGACCAGCCTTATAATGTATATATCATATTTAGAGAATTACATATGTGTAAATTTATGTGTATGTATGCATTGATGCATATATTTTTATTAATTTATATTAACATGCTAGTTAAAGCTATTGTTATTTTTGCTGCTTATCCCTGCTTTCAGAAATACTCTATACAGCATGTGCACCTTCTTGGAATCTAAAAGTAAAATGAGAAGGGCAAATTCCAAACAAGAATGAGCACAGAATATACCTGAATATAATTCCTGTAGCAATGCCAGAAAGTACTGGACATCAGGAAAAGAAGAGAAAAAGTCAGCATTGAAAAATTACTGCATGTGTCATCTTACGGTGAGGTCTGTTAGCTTCTCCCTCTGCCTGAGGATTCTTTTCTGAGTCATTTGGATGATGCTGAACACACTGGGGAGTGAAATAACCAGTGATCATTCTCACAAAAGTATCCTGGAGAGAGAGAGAGAGAGAAAGAGAGAGAGAGAGAGAGAGAGAGAAAGAGAGAAAGAGACAGAGATACACAGAGAGACAGAGACAAAAAGACAGAGAGTCAGAGACCATGATTATGTTTGATTATGTATACATATGAATGTGTCTGATGGTGGTTGTGGGGGTGCAGCACATGGTGAATATGGAGGAACATCGTTCTCCTAACAGCACGATAGTTAGGGCCTTTTTACTCAGTTTGATAAAGGATTGCTAATATTCAGTGGATGAAGATTCAAAGAATGAGGAGCCTCTTTCTTTGCAGGCTCGTTCCAATATAGGACCCAGAATGTTGGCAAAATGATTCTGCATTTTACTCGTAGGGGAGGGTTAGTAAAATGTGCCTCTCTCATCCTAAACATCTTTCTGCTTCCTGTCAGGAAAAAGGCAAGACGCCATCTTAAATCTTCATCAAGTTTTTCTACCTAGTGAGTCCCCTATTTTCTTCAGTAACCTGTATTAAAAAAAAAATGCGGGTGGAAGAGGTGACATTTGTTAAAGTATAAGGAAAGATGCTTAGAGAAAGACATGGGTAGAGACATGAACAGATATAGCATATGATGATAAGATACTATTTTGCGTTTGAGACTTGTTATTTTGGTTTGTTTTTAATCTTTTCTATTAGTTCTCAGCAAAAAGAAAAATAAAGACTGAAATAACAAAGTAGGGTAATGCAAGCTCTGTCTATGGAAATGAAAACACCGGTACTCTTGCAGACATGGGATGTTTCTCGGCAGAGAGTGAAGTTACTGAGGGACAGAGAATGTCCCTGTCTTTCTTCCTCTCTCAGACTTAACATAAATAATAGTAAAGGCATAAAGAAAGAACAAATCTGGTAGCCAATAAATATACAGATTTAACAAATAAGTATGAAATTTATGTCATGTAATCATTCAAGTAACTCTGAGATGTAGATATGTACCCCATTTTACAGGAGGAAATTACAAAGCAGAGATACTATGTATCTCTTTCTCAAAGTTATACTATGTATAACTTTCTCAGAGCTACATTGGCAAAAACAGAATTTGAAAACTAAGTTTGACACCTGAGCTTATTTTTTAACTCTTAGGTTCATGATGAACTATATTACCCTTACATTTCCTTCCTCATTTTATGAGGTAGCATTTCTCCAGCAGAGATGCTCAAACATTAGAAGTCATTGTTCAGTTCTACATCATTCTCATGTTATCAACCAGCAATCAATATTCAGCTTACTTTAGCTGCCATTCTAAAGGTCATCTCTTTCTTCACAGTCCCTAATAAGACTGCTTTTTGTAAAGCCATTGCAACCTCTTACATGGATGACCGCACAGTTTCTATGACTATTGTCTTCTCCTTCTGAATATTTATTTTCCATAAAGCTACCAGTATGGTTTTTGTGAAATGCCAAGTTGAATACAATACTGTCTTTTTGAAAAATCCCCAGAGCTTACCCCTTGTCTACAGAATAAAGGCTGTCTTCCTAGGCTTGACATATAGGTCTGCATGATTGCCATGAATTTCCTTTTTAAGTCTCATCCCTCACTCTTTGTCTTGTGCGTTAAAATGACTTATTAAACTTCATGGAGTTCACCATATAGTTATTTATTTCTCTTTGCACAGAAACCTGCTCAATTCTACTTATTTATTTTGCAAAGCACTTAAGATTTCTCTGACCATCAAGAACATTCACCTCTAAAGGCTGCATTTTTTTTTTTTGTATATTCTATAAATGTGTTTTTCACTGAGTTTCTGTGTGGCGGTTTAGTTATCTGTTCAGCTCTTTTCTCCTCATCTGATTGTGAGCTTAAGTACAGATTATTTACACTTACGGGTTTTCATATGGCAAAATGCACATCAAAATTCAATAAATATCATTTGATGAATTTTTTCTAAGGCATATACAACAAAAAATGAATTATCTTTGTTTTTGTTTCATTTTCTTTATGGTTTTCTTGTCAAGGGAGGATTTTCAAGAATAATTTAAGCCACAGAAAACTGTGAAATGTGTGTCACTCATTGACCTTCTGGACAATTAAGAATGACTCATATGTCACCTTTAGGACTGTGTGCACTGCAGAGTAACTGTTTCTCTCATGCAGCATTCAAAAAGATTTCTGCAATAAATCAGATATTTTGTTCTGTCTTCTTATCATATCAGATTTTGTTACCCTACCAGTTACATACATATTACATAACACTTGTTCCTAAGTCAAAATAAACAATACACCCCAAACATCATCCTTAGAGTGCCAGCAGCAAACTTGGGATATATTTTCCCTAAAATCAAAATATATGGCAATCATTATCTTTACCCATATGAAGATGAAGTATGGCGAAAGCCATTCCACCCCAAAATCAACAGCCAGGCAAAATGTAGTCCTAATGTATCCTTCAGCTGTAAGCACATGGGTTTCAAATACGCAAAATTTCCAAAATTAAATATTTCTAATATCAATGGGCAAATTCTCTGTGCCAATGCCTCCCCAGATTGTCATAATGCCTCTGCCTTTCAGTTATGTCACTGTTAAGATAGAATTAAATAGAAGTATTTTTTTCCCCAGAATCTTTCTCAAAGCTTCTTTGACATCTTTGTTTCTCAGAGAATAAATCAAAGGATTCAGCATGGGAGTGACTAGGGTGTAACATAACGAGGCCACTTTACTCAGCTCAGGAAATCTATCAGGGATGAAATACATAAAAATCACAGCACCGTACAACACACTCACGACTCCCAGGTGAGAGCTGCAAGTGGAGAATGCTTTCTTACGTCCCTCAGTGGATCTTATCTTTAGAACTGTGGACACAATATACATATAGGACACAATAATGACAATTATCGTAGGCAAAATAATAATGCTGCATAAGAAAAACGTAACCATGTTATGAAAGTAGAGATCAGAACAAGATAGCCTCTGAAGTGGACGGTCATCACAGTAAAAGTGGTCGATGGCTCGGGAAGCACAAAAGGACAAAGTAAATGTTATGCTTGTCTGAAGAACTGAGCTGATGCAGCCGCATAAATAGGAACCAGCCACCAACTGAGTGCAGAG